TCTATAGAGGCATGCAAGCCAGAACTTGTCAGCAAAGTTCTGGCATTACTGGGTACTTCTTGTTAATAATTTCAGATATGTACTTTCTAACAGCAGTTAAGTGGGGAAAAAAAGTTTCTTCCTCAGTGTGTGCTGGAGCAGCAGTGAGTATTGTTGGCTTGGGTCAACGGTCATATTCCCATCATAAACTTTTTTGTTCAGTTCCATATGGATAGCCAATATACAGCGTTTCCTGCAGCAAAAAAATCAAAAGCATTCCATTAGAGAATGAAGCAAGACACCATTTAAGAATTCACAAGAGAGAAGATAACTTCAGACTCAGCATGGAGAAAGTTTGTAATTTCAGTCTCTACTGCAGAGGTAAAATCTCTAACACACAAGGCTGTACACACACACAAATTTTGAGACAAACTTTTATGACCCAAATCATTGCTGTGACATTGATTATGCTGACATGATGATCTGTGGTTTCATGACAGGGCTTTAGGGCTTGTAAAAAGGTACTAAATGTTAGCACTGTAACTACCTTGAATAACAGTTGTTAGCTCCCTGGTAGATCAGCTATATAAATAAAAACTTTGTTGGTAAGTTATAAAATCTTTGTTGCTAAGTTATATATCCAAATGCCTCTGAGTTTTGCACAGATTCGTTTGGATCTCTTTAATAGACAAAAGTTTTCTGTCAGTTTAAATTCAAGATTACCTATTGGAAATCAATTGGCTCTGTGAAAAAATGGTTAATTAAATTTGGAAAAACTAGAAAATCCTTCCCTCTATACTGCCTTTGTCCTGAACTTAAGTACTGACTGTTTACATTTGCAAGCACAGCTCATCTTAATGGTACATGGCAATCCTCAATTTAACAGAAGCCTGTTTATCTTGGAGAAGGAAGATTTCCAATCCCATCTAAAGCACTGACATACATTATCTAGGACAGGTTCTTCCCTTCTTACTCTGCAAACCCCAATGCCTTAACACACTTTAACTTTATACTGCAAAATCAGAAATTTCATTCCTAGTTTAGGCTACCTTTCTACACAATTTTATGAGGATACTTGTCTTTTGACTATGACACTGCAAGACAACATATTTCAGGGCCAGATGGTTTGAAATTTAAGGTTTCTCATTCTCCATGAAAATAAGCTAGCATAGAAAAAGGATGATTTTTTTTTACTCTTACTTTAATTTACCTTTTATAAGGATTATGGAGTAGCTCAGCCAGACAACGCAGATAATATGAGGATGAAGTTGAGGATCGTTCTAGTTTAGACACATCCACCTTGCAATGACTCCAAAAGATGTCTGCTGCTTGGGGAATCGTGACTTTAGAACTGATATTCTCAGCATTCCCATCAACTTCCGACAGACTGGTATATTCTTGCTCATTTTCTGGCACAACATAGCTCTGAATAAAAAAAAGCTTCGGTTTTCCTAGGAGTCCAGGACATGAGTCTGCTGTAAAGTATTTCTTTATTTGTTCCAAAGGGAATCCAGAAAAGGTGTGGTCCGTACAGAAGATGCTCTGAGAGTTTCCACGGCTGACCAATATGCAAACGAAGCTGTCACAATATTTGTGCTTCTGCCACCTTGCAACTTCAAGCAATTTTTGATTCATGGAGTTCATATTTAAATACCTGTGACAATGAACATCATAGCCTAAGCCTCTGAAGGTCTTTTCCAACACATCTGAAAGAAGCAAGATGTAATTAAACCAAGGTACACCAAATCTCAATCTCATCTATATTGAGTTACAGTACTTAGGAGTGTTTTTCTATTGAAACTAAGTAGTTTATTTTATCACAATAATTAAAAATCAGGAGCACTTGGTGTTGATCACAGTACATTACATACTTATAGTGCTATATGCATGTTGTCTTTCCTGTGAGCTACATGTTTCATGGCAGCAGAGACACTGTTTCACATTCCACAGACACTTACATGCTTTCCTTTAGGGCCAGTATTCCAAGTTCCTAAGACTTCAAATACAAGACAAGAAAAAACACGCTTGAAATTATAAAGAATGATCTGGACAGCATAGGAAGTCTGTTTCACCTTTTAATTTGTCAAAATTACCTTGAATGGTTATTATAGATACACAGAACTGCATAAGAAATACAGAGGTTCTCTTTCATCAGTCAAAAAGGAACCTGCTGCAGTACTTTTTGCTTCCTAAAATTTTAAGTGACAAGCTCCAGGTGAAGAATGGACACTGGAGTCTTAACTGGGACAGAATGGCCTTTTCAGGCAAAGAAGAAAGCTGAATAATGAACTCTTTCAATTGAGTTAGACATTTGTAGGTAGCCAAACCCCAAGACCTAACTCTTACTGTATTTGTGTTAACCTGTGCTGCAGGAAAATGTGTAAAGATCTGAATGTTTCTTAATATGGGACTGGAACCAGATACATGGTGGTTAAAACCACAGGTATGAAGTGTTCAGAGCACCACAAGCTACTACGACGACTTACAGCTGTAGCATTGTATATTTAATATAAAACACACATACATTGCCCATGGACAGCTTCTGGTAGGAAAAGATTTGTCAAGTGCCATGTTTATGTAAAATGCCTTACACACATAGGAAACTTACCCACAGCTGTCTTTGACTTCAAAAGTTTAACAAGCCTTAATTAGCAGGGGCTGTTTCAGAGGTAATGGCAGTAAAGCAGCTGTGCTGCCAGACTGTTCTCCCCACAGAGCCCACAGTGAACAGAAGAAACCGAACTCATAACTTTCCTCAGCAAAATAAACTGTAGACACAAACTCTATGCTATAGTGAGGTGATAAAAAATAACTACAGTTTCATTCCAATTCTGCTGGTTTGATTAAATTTTGTAAGATAATTAAAAAACTGTCCAGACATTTTTAATTTGAGAATAGAAAGATAAAGCTTCCTTATTTTACGCAATAAAATATGCTCTCAAAATTCAGACTACTCAGTATCACTACAGTCTAGCAGTTATACACTTGATGAAGCCCTCCATCAGTCAGGGGTAACAGAACATGTACAAAATGAGAATTACAGCAGTGAGAATGCTTTTCCTGTAATGTTCTGATCTCACTGGCAGCTGCACATAAGCACACAAATACAAAACCTGGTGTCAGCTTAGTACCCATACACACTAACTGTCAAAGTTTAAAAGAACCAATTCAAAACCTCAGAGCTGACAACTTGGTTAACAATTAATCAGAAATTTTACATAGCCTTGAATAAGCCTTGGACACTCTAAGGCAAGACACACTACAGCATTACATACTGCAGCCTGAGATCAGAAACTACCTATTCAACACTACCCAACTGCCAACAAACCTCCACTGATTTTTCAGCATCTCCATTCTACATAAAACAGTAGCCTTTTCTCCCCTCATTATTTGCAATGTAAGGATTAAACTGATTTCTAAATAGAAAAATCAAAAGCAGCTATTTACAAAACAGCAAGGTGCATTTCAGTTTGAATTTTATCAGCATTTGATAAATTCATGCTGTTTACAGTGGGCATCATAAAGTATTGTACTTCTTGATCCTACAGTATCTATTACTGGTTCACCTTCCTGAGACTAAATCTTGGGACAGCTACAGATTCTTATGGATGCCACAGATACAGTTTCTAATGTTTTCTCTGCCCTCTTCTTCAGTGTAATCAGACTTCAGAATAGTGTGGCACAACTATTTCTGCCTTTCTAGCAAACTCCTTTAAGCAATGCCATATGCCCTATCTCCTCTGAATCTCACTAGCACCCTAAGGTACTTCAGTGCAAGTCTTGCCTTCTATCATGTTAAATGCTGACAATGTGACCTCAAACATCGGAGATACAGACTGTGTGTGAGCTCCACAACCACTGCCCTGCAATTACACCAGCAATCCTAAATTAGTTCATCTGTGGGACCATTACATTTGAGAAAACCAAAAGACATGTCCAGAAAGCCTCTCCTTCCCCTACATCTCCCAACCTATTACAGAGCTGACTGTAAATACTCTTCATGTTTATTTTTAGCCTCACGTGTTACAGTGATTAGAGTGAGGGATGTTTTTGATTGTGCAAAGATCTAATTCCAGGATTCTACAAAGGCAACCAGGAAATGCCCACATTTCAACAATAGCAGTAACTACACTGACAGCAGTGGTGACACTTTCAGTTTCACTGTGGTGACATTTTCAGCCAAACTGTGCAACATAGGACAGAAGTCCTGGTGCATCATTAATAAAGGACCGCATGGCTATTCAAAATCTCTAGTGTCCAATAGGACTGCACTTCAAATCCACAACAGTTTTTTTTTTTGTTAACTGGTGAGAAACACTACCATCTCTGCCAATAACCTGCTGTATGTCTTTATGACTGCTGTAAGCCTAATTCTATCCTCTTTCACATTCTTTCATTCAGAGATTCTGCACAAAAAACCCCAAACGTTGTCTCCAATAATTAGGACAGTTGGCTTTAACCTGATGTTGTCCCTTCCCTTTAGAAATCTTACTAGAATTGGTAGATTAAATGACTGGGATAACACTACCCTAATTTGGCTGGAAACTGAACATTATATTCTTTATACTAAATTCTTCTAATTATCTGAGACTTAGAAGTTAAGGGACTTAAAATTCCAGAAACTTACCAGTGTCATTGCCAATACAATCTATTATCAGGCATATTCCTAAAGGCTGACTTTGCATTCTGTAAGAATCATCAGACACCTGAGAAATGTGAAAGGACAATTACAAAGTCAATACATCACTTTCTCAACTTTTAGACCATATTATTTTCTCAAATTTTATGTTATAGATGTATTAAATAACATTCTGTTGTTTTCCACCAAGTAGCTAGCAGAAATCTGTCTACTGGGTTGTAACGTGTCTTATCTACACAACAAAAAAACAGAAATAAAGGACTAATGATTCTTTTTCTTCTATTTCTAGTACAGACAGTTTTTGTGTCCTTGTGTTATGCAATCTCACTACCATAAGGATCCTTAAACAGAGACTAAAACTGTATAAGCTTCATACTGCCAACACAATAAATGTAGAAATCTTTTGTGTTCCTCAGGTGTGCAAGCAAGCACTGCTCATCAGAAAACTCATTTCCTTATTTAGTGGAACAACCTCCTTACTCCTAAATAATCCATAATGACTCTATTGTTGTGATAGAGAATTTATTGAAGAAATCAATTTGCTACAGATTGGTTCCTAATCTACAGGAGAACTAGTGAAAATAGCAGTTGTCCATCCTTATCATTAATACCCCAAGCATGTCTGTCTTCTGCCTGGAGAGCAAGGGGTGAGGAGGGAATCAAGAACAAAATCTACTGCATACAAAGAAGCTCTGTGATTCCTAATGCATGTGGCAAGAGGTCTGAACTTCAACAAGTTTTAACTTGGCCTCCACTAACAAATGTACGAGTTCCATGTGCACATCATATATACATGTATTTTGCACACTGCTACTTCCAGAGTAGCAGCAAATATTTTCTATTTCAAATATATTGTGCAAAAACAACTCACAGGACCTGTTTATGGCTGAGGATGTACCCATTGTTCTGCCTGTACACAGCTCAAGAAAATCTCAAAACTAAACACAAAGAAAACTAAGGAAAATACTCACAGAGATTGTATTTATTTACATGCATACATATACACAAAAATATACCTTATGTGGCACTGATCCTGACTCCTCAATGGACATGTGAAGTGGTTCTGCTGCACCTAAAACATACAGAAGTAATCTCAGTATGCAAGTGCTAGTGTTATTTTTTAATCACCAGACCATTTGTAAAGAAAAGGTATCTACTTTAACAAAGTTCTCACCCATCGGGACCTCTTAGTTTCTATGTATGCTACTGAAGTTTAAAAATCCCTAAATTATTCACCTCTAAAATGTTATCTGCATTTCCTTCTACATTGCTTGGGACTAGAAGGAATAATGAATCTCTTCTACAGTGAAACAATTCAGCCAACTAATTTTAAAAATCACCATATTTTACAGATTTTGGGGTTTCCAGAGAAAACACAATACACATGGAAAGAACCTGGTATTCAATGCACAACTTCCTGGCTGGCCTGGTGGGGAGTGCACTGCTGAACTGACACAAAAATTTCCTTCTCCAGAGCTAACAGGCAGAACTACACCACACAGGCCTCCAGAGCTGGCTAGCCAATTTTAGCCATGGTTTTACTAATAAAGTATTCTGTTAAGAAATTTTGACAGTGGAAGCTTACATTTTTAAAGAATGTTTTAAGATGTGGCAGCACAAGCAAAGCAAATACAAGACCAAACAGTAAGGCCAGGCTCAGTTCTGAGAGGTATCAAATACTTTTTGCTCCTGATATTATTAACAGGATTAGCCATGAACACAACTATCAAACAACAGTCCTTTTGATGTAATGAAATTCATTGGGCTCTTTTAGATAAAACGCTCTTACCCAGAGTAAGACTTGATCCATTTTGTAATTTTTCTATGTTCTCATTCTGAATCTGAAATTAAGAAAAAGGCATGATATTCCTACTCTCCTTCAAGAATTAATAAACATGTTCCAAAACAAAACACAGTAGTATTTCCTCCTCAGTAAAAGGATATTTTAGATTCATTTCTATCAGCTAAATAGAATTACAATGTAGCAGATGAAAAAACCTACCCAGAGCACAGACAAATAAAATAAACACCCAACTGTTCCTCCTCCTCCTCAAAAAAAAATCACCAGCTTGTCATCAACTGCAAGGAAAACCCTCTGAAGATGTGAACTTTGTTTCCTATATAGCAGCAGGGAGCTGCATGTTTACTGAACACATGACAACTAATATCATCAAATTTACCATGGTTAAAGACTTTAAGAAAGGTCATGCTAATACAATATTAGAGTTAACTAAAATATAAAGAATATTGCATGCAGTAGGATTTGATGACTTTCAGAGACTGAGATATCTTCTTAAACTGAGTTTAAAACAAACCACCAAAAAAAAAAAAAAGCTTAAAAAAGCTATCATTTTCAGCTTCAAAAATTAAAAGCTACTTTCCCTGAAAGATCTAGAGGTACAAAGAATATGTTTTGCAAAGAAGAGTCAAAGCAAAACTTTTTACTCCAGTGTAGTAGAAAAAAACTGTCAAGATACAGATTTTATATGTTTTTAATAGAAAAAAATTCACATAAATTCTTTAAAGGGCATCTTTCTCAGGCAGATTAACATCAGTCCCTAAACTCAGCAAATAACAGGAATAACAGAAATAAACCAAGCAGTACTTGGTTTATTTCACTAGCTATCTCTAATTCCTCAGGTGCTGAAAGATTGATCTCCTTTTAAAGTCTTGCAATATTTGGAAATAAAGGATTTGTTTCACTTCTTGAATACTTACCCCTGAATGATAAGGAGGATCAATCAGATTTAAATTAGGGAGAGAGGCCTGAAGCGCATTTACATAAACTGGCTGAGAATGAACAGAGGACACTGAAGCTGCAAATTTAACAGAAACACAAACACACCATGATATTTCAACTGTTTTGAAAACCTAGATCTACAAAGAATGCAAATGCCCTTATTTGTATGTCACAGTTTTATCTTCAGCACATCTGATTGCTGCTATCAAGAGTAACCAGTACAAAAAGAGCATCTCACCTTCATGCTTGTACTTCTGAATCTTCCTAATCAAGTCTATCCTGTGAATACTTTGAAAACAGTTTTCTATCAAATCCAGTTGATTAGGAGCCACCAAATTTAGCTTCTCCAGGTCAATGATAAGAGCTAGAAAACTCTAGAATAGCAACATAAACCCAAACACATCAGTAATTTTTTCTCCACCAGATGTAACAAAGCAACACAGAAAATACCATGGAGAGGTCATGAAGGCTGTATAAACAATTAGAGATGTTACACCTTCTAAGAAAATTATCTGAGAAACATTTTAATCCTTGATATTGTCACACCAGTGATAGAAACTAGAAAGTCATGTTCTTAAAAACCTATCTTAAATTTTTGAGGAAACAGTTTTGCATTTTGTTTTTGCTACAAAGCAAAACAGCTACTGCAAATGTCACCTCACGTGCCACAAAGCAAGAGGCAAGAAAAGCTTTGGGAAATTTTCAGGGCCTCTCTCCTTCTCTGACTGAAGACAGAAAAGGAAAAAAAAACTCCAAAGGAAGAAGACAGAAATCTTCAGTCTTCTCTGCACAGTGGTCATGGTTTCTGAATCTTCTCTACTGAATTTCTGCCTTCTCAGAGGACTTAACAAAAATATTCAGAATGCAAAGGTATAAAGACATAATTACAATATGTTCTTTTGTGTTCTTTTGTAAGTGAATTACAATGTGTTCTTTGTAAGTGAAGCAGAGCACAAACAAAAAGTGACCTTGTAACTTAAGATACAGTTCAAATGTTTTTTTTTTTTTAAGATTATTCTTACAATAACTTTCAGGTCAGAAATATTAAAGAAAGATTTCCACAAAATGCCCATGAAGTTCATTCAATCACAATACACTACAACAAGCAATTTTTTACTCCTCTTGTTTTTTTACTAGTTTTCCATGCTTCTTTTCTTGAACTAAAAATCAACAAAATGAAACAGAAACCACAACTCCTTGTCTGCTTCCTGATGTGTGTGTACTCCTGCCTCAATACTTCTTGCAGTACTGACTCCTCTCCTTTGCTGTCTAGCTACATATTTTTTTTACTTTCATGTCTCTCTGCTCCAGAGGAGAATGCCAACAGGAAAACATACCTTATCTTTTGCCATTTTCATACGAGGTGCATAATCTCTGAGTAGAAAACCAAGAGAACTCACTTCATCTTTTTCCAGATTTTCATTTATCTCTACCATTAGTACCCTGAAATAAAGTTGAGATATTTCTAAATGATTAGCTTGCAGCAAGATTCCTCCCTTTCCCAACTACTCAACTTCTCCCCATGTTCCAGTCTTCATCTACAATCTCTAACTGAGAAACAGGTAAAAGACATACCCTGTTTCAAGATCCAGTTATGAAATACTCTTGCCAATCAGCACCTGTGTTTTTCAGACTGACAGTGTAATAGCCATTGTTAGGAAAACAGAAGTTTCCTTAATGTTTAACAGAGATTAAGTAAGAGAATGAGACAACAGAACATATCCTTAACTTTTTAACCTGTTAGCTACAGGATTTTTATTTCAGTGTGAATTCAATACAAGAAAATCTTCCTTATGAGTGCATGGATTTCTTTCTGAAGTCTTTCAAAGAAAATGACTGGAATTTCCCTCCCAAAACTAGTAGTAGAGTAAAACAAGTAAGAGAAAGGTCCCTTGAGAAAAGTTATACCACGTGGCCATGTGCCCAAAGCAAGCCAGAAAAGAAAATATGTCTAATCAATGATATTCCTTAAAAGTGTCATTTAGCTGCTAACCTAGAACTCTATAAACATCACTGGTTTTATTCACAAACACACAAACTCCTTAAATACAGATACTTCTAATGCCATGACTAGTAGAAACTATTTAAGTTTAATTCAGCAACTAAACTTGACTTTTTTTTTTTAACTATACTCTAGATATAATGTTCTTTTCTGCTTTTCTTCTACTTCAATAAATATTCTCTGAATCTGTGAAGTATTAAAAAAAAACAACAAAAAAACCCCAAACAAACCCACAACTCACCCATACTGCCCCCCCCCACCCCCCAAAAAAAACAAAGTTAAAAAGCAAACCACTTATTTTGAACAAGATAGCATAGCTTTTAAATCTGAAATAGATGTATTACCTGTAATCAGGGATAAGTCTGAGACTCCTGGCAAGGTGAGCTTCCACTGTTGCTTTCTCAGTGTTCAGGATCCTCCTCAGCAAGTCAAACCTCTTAACTCGGTACAACAGCTCAGACAAGCCAACAGGAGTCAGTTTCTCTCTCTCATTCAAAGCCACCAAGACCTCCTTAAGATCAGCAGTGGCCAAGTCAGGAGCAAGGTCTCGGCACAGGAAAACCATCATCTCTTCTTCATCTTTATCCAATTCTTCTTGAATTTGATGAATAAGGAAAGCTGGCACTTGGCACCTGGTCATCACTTTGTTGCTGTTCCTTTAAAATTGCCAGCCTACTTGTTTTTAAACTGGAAACCAACATGACATGAAGCCTGTGTCTACCACAGCACTTCTCATGGGTTCATTCTTAACTAGGTGCATTTCCACAAGGGCAGTTCTGTGGGAGAGAATTAAAAGGCAATAAATCAGTGATCTGCTGCACAAGTTCACATAACTCTCCTATCTGAAGTATTTAACTTTCAGCTAACACTCCAACATACACTACAAAGACCTCCTTTATTCAAGGGACTCTCTCAGTTGTTCATTACAAAACTAAAACTATTTGGAAGGTCATACTAATCAGAAAGATATGTAAGTTATTTTTAGAGGAAACTACCTTAACATGAGTCTGTATATTCCATAGGAAGTGAAACAAAAGTCATCAGCTTGCTGATCAATGATAGATGAAGTATTTCCAAAAGCTCTGCCCCTTTTCCGAGCAACAATATAGCATGTAATATTAGAACTGCTAATATATGTAAATTCAAGAGTGTGTGGATTTTCTTATTATTAACATAACTTAAATTTATTCCAATCTGGGGTTAAAAGGATTTTCCACACACACCCACCATGCTCAAAAAGATTGAAAAGCCACTCAAAGAAAATACTCCAACCTTAAATATGCAAATTAGTTCATTCTGAAAGTATAGATAAGCCACAGATCACTTTTTTCTTCACTAAACATTCATGTACCATTATACTGAAAACTGGAACAAAAATTCAAACCTAGAAAAACCCCCAGCCTTGTGATTAACAAAATGAGGAGGGTGCTATACTCAATTTCCACTGCCACCAGCTATGGAAATTCCATCTAACCCCCTCTGACCTCCATTATATATAGGGAGAAATGGCAGATGAGCAAACCTAAAGACAAACCTTAGTCCTTCCACAGATCACTATACTGCAGAGTTTTATTTAAACCATACTGGAAAGCAAATGCCAATTCAACTCCAAAGGTTAATATACCAAAATATTCTAGCACCCAAATAAGGTTTTTTTACAGCATTTTCATCCTTTTGTTACGCATTCTGGAAGTTACGATCAAAAATGTCACATACTGTGTCCATAATTAAGCAGGTGAGATAAATTAATCTAAAACAGAGGAACCCCTAATGCACTGTAATGTGTTTTGGAAAGTTTTCTGTCAGAAGAAAAGCATATTCATTGCTAACTTATTTTCAATCTAGCATCAAACACTTCTGAGAATCCTATAGAATGACACTGTTTTTATGACATAATGCAGTCAAGAAGGAGGAAGCACAAAGCACCTTCATATGGAAGTATCTCCCAGGTACTTTCAGCTGGGACTTTTAAAAGAACTTGAAGTAATAGTTTAAAGTGAAACAGGAATTTAACAACTTTTGGTCATTTTTGGAAATACCTGAAAAACTTTAACTACTCCAGTTGATGTTTATCTAATCTTTTAAAACTAATTAAAAGAACAGAGGTGGGGGTGTGTGTTAGGAAGAAATTTCCTACTGAGTTGGAATTTCAGACATGCAAAATTACTATTTATATGTTAACTTAAAATTAATTTGCCTTTAAAACACACATATGAATAATCTTCTTTTGTGAATTTCCTTTATATATGATACATCACATGCTCATTATAAAAAAATGCTGATTATACTCTCAGTGTTGAAACTATCTTACCTGTATGTAGAATTGTTCACAAGAACACTGGAAAACTGGCATTTGATCATTGCCAAACCACTGATCCAGCACACATTGGTTTCCATCCAGGATTTTCCAGTGATTACATTAACTCACTGCTGGACAAATATCAAGATCACAAATTACTGTGGAGGGCTACTTCCTTTTATGGGGGTGGGAAAACCAAAGAAAATGACCAAGAGTTATTCTTCTATACGACTGCAGTGAACTAGGAGTGGTGCTCAAAATAAAAGGAAAACCAGCATAACATTCTTTGGGTACTGTGTGGGAAATGAGTAAGAGCAACGGAAATTATTTTATTTAGTATAAACTAAAACAATTTATAACTTTGCAGATCCACTCCACCATATGAGATAAAGGGCATAATGCGCCACTCTTCCATCTGATGACCACTTTTTCAAACATCACAGATGGTCATTATAGCTGCAAAAGTTAAAGAAAAAAAGCAATCAGAACATAAACCCAGCAGCCTAGCTTTTGATTATCTGGACTCTGCAACAAGATGACTTACTGAATGTAAATTCTCTACAAACAAGGAGAGAAAAATCAGGTTATCTTCTAAGACAAAAAAAAGTTCATAGTCATCAGAGATAAAGCTGCCTCAATAATTGTCGTGTTCATGTGACATTCTAATTAGGCTTTTTTTTTTTTTTTCTTAACACCATTGCAAAGGAGCAGGAAACAACATACTAAAATTTCACACAAACATGCACAAAGCTCCAGTTAACTCCTTGCTGGCATTTTGTATCTTGAACCCTTCAGAGTCAACTTTGCAGCAACAAAGGCGGGATATGACGCCAGCGGTCGCAGCTCTGATTCGGGAGATTATCTTTCTTCCCCAAGGCGAAGATGACCTGGCTGCGGGGTGTGCTCCGCCCTTCCTCCGCTCTGTCCCGCTCGCAGAGATGGCGGTGAACGACTGCGCTTGGAGCCAGGGCCATCTGGCATTTTTCAAAGCTGCAGAGCATGCTCCACAGCTTTTCAATTTCCCCATTTCCTCACTGCCCCACGCCCTTCAGCAGAACCTTGTGCAACGCACTCAGAGAACACAGGGAAGTTCTGCGGCACATTTCTTCCTACTCTTGAACAGTTTTCCCCCGATGCAAACTAGTATGACACGCTAATTTGTTTTAACATCCCAGTCCTCCTAATTAAAACAAAAAGTAAAAAAAAAATCCCTAAAACCAAACAAAAAAACCCCAACTACTAAGCGTGGTTTATGCAGATTTCCTGTAATTTTTCTACGTGCGTCATTTTAATCACGCTCGGTTTCGGTTCTCACCGCGAGCCCCGGCCCCGCTTGCGCCGGGCGCTCCGGCGCTGGGCCGCCTGTGCTGCGAGCGCAGGGTGCGAAGGGCAGGGAAGGGATGGTGAGGGAAAGGAGGGGGAAAGGAGCGGGGAAGGTATAACGCACCCAGACGCCTCGGGGAGGTCTCTACAGCAACCAGGTCCGGCATTTGGAGAAGGGAGGAGCTGGGGCGGTACCGGCCCGCTGGCCGCACAGCGCCGCGCCGGGCCGGGGGAGGGCTAGGGGGGAGGCAGGGTGGTGGTTTTAGTTTTGTTTCCGGCAAAGAGCTGAACACACAAAAGCGGGCCAAGAGCGGATGGAGGCGGGACAGGGCCGTGGTGCCTCCCGGCACCTCCCCCTGGCACGGACAGAGCGGCGGGACAGCGCTGTGAGGGGACAACGCTGTGAGGGGACCGCGCTGTGCGGGGACAGCGCTGTGCGGGGACAGCGCTGTGCGGGGACAGCGCTGTGCGGGGACCGCGCTGTGAGGGGACAGCGCTGTGCGGGGACAGAGCTGTGCTAGGACAGCGCTGTGCGGGGACAGCGCTGTGAAGGGACAGCGCTGTGAGGGGACAGCGCTGTGCGGGGACAGAGCTGTGCTAGGACAGCGCTGCCGTCCGGAGCTCGTACACGAGCGTTTGCAGGCTGTGTTTGGTCCTGCTGCTGGCCTGGGGACAGACAGAGCAGCTCTGCGATGGCCCTGCGAGCTGTGAAGTTGTAGCGGCGTTTTCGGTGAGGGGTTACACACCTGCGGTCAGTGTGGGCACGTGTTTCGGCGGGAGTTCAGCCGTAAGCGCTTGGATGGCTCATGTCTCTGAATTTGTTCGTTCACATGTACAGCTGTGTGAAAGTTGTACGCTTCCTGTTGTATAATCTTAAGGAAATATTGCATAACACCTTCTTCCTGAAAATTGGGTGTTGCTATTCCCTTGACATAAACAAGCAGCTTTCATGAAGCTATTGACTGCAGGATGCTAGCGTTGCAGCTGGAGCTGCTCTCCAAAAGGCCTAAAACCTAAAATTTTTCTGAACTAGACAAAAGCCACCTCCATATATAGTGAAATCAGACACATAAAACTCCCAGATCAATGGATTTCAAAGCATTTATGGAACAGTGAGTAATTTTTGTGTGCTGCTAAAAATAGAGCAATGGAAGCGCAGTACTCTGGGACAGCACACACGAAGAGTCACGCTGTCTTTGGAACTGCAGGGAAAAAGGAGACAGAAAATATTCGCCCACACTATTTGTACCAAGTGGCAGCTCTGTGTTCTGAAAAAAATACTTGTATTCTTAGTGAAATTGTATGGTCAGGCTCTCATTGTAACAGTGATCATTCAAGGCTATCACAGTATCCCTGCTAGTAAGATGTAGCTGATTCAGAAGGAAACCAGCTACTTACTGTGAATCAATATGCACAATTTTTCCTTGGATCTGTTCCATACAGACAGTGGAGCATCATCAGTTTTATTTTTCAGACTTTATGATACAAAAATAACTTCCTGTCTGGTATTACAATCATATATGTTTCTCACCTACTGGTGTCACTGCTGTTTGTGACACTGGTTTTTGCACTGTAAAATATCTATGCTGGAAGAAAGGCTGTTCTCATATAAGGACAGACATTGCTATGGTTACAGTGAAGACACATTTGGTACTATTATTTTAATACACCAGAAATATTTTTTCCCCAGGCAGGATTGGTATTATTATACCTGTGAAAGAAAATCTTTATGAGTACTGCATGTGTAACAATGATGAGACATATACTGCAAAATTAGCAAAATATGTTCATCACAAATTAAAGACAGTCATTTAGGGTAGTGGCTGCCATCTGGCTATTAAACCACCAAATGATACCACCTTAATTCACAAACACATAAATTTTACCAAAACTAGTCTTGTCTAACTCAATACGCTTGATATATTTGCTGTATCAGTGAAGTGGCAGGCTTGTAACCATATAAAAAGACTCATTCTACTTCCTGTCATTATTAACATCAGTAACATAGTAACAATTATTAACATTGTAGTAATTAACTGTGTTACTTCTTTTCATGAACAGCTATCTGAAATTCAGTACTCCCTAGAAAAGTTGTCTTGGAACCAGATAGAAAACAAGCAGTGAGTACCAACCATTGAAAGTGCATATTCTGGGTAAGAGTACCTAAGGGACAATAGAAATGTTTTGTGCCACAGACCTTACACAGCAGGTTTTTTTGATTTTTTAGGGAATGATGCAATTAGATAGGAATGTTTGAGAAAAAAGATTAGGCAAGAGTTTACTAAAATGAGTGTTGCACTATGAACAGTGCCTTGAGCAATGTCATAGAAAAATGACAAACTCCACTGAACAGTACATCTGCACTCACACAGTAACAGATGTTGTTTATTTGCTCTAAAAATAAAGCTCTATTATAATCTAACTCAGAAGGATTGAATGTGAATATGTATGTTTAAAAAAAAAAGATATTTTAGCCATGTTTTGGTAGAACCTTCAACTTTTTTGTAAACCTACAATTTGTGACAGGATTGTTTAAAAACTTCAATTTCTGCACCATGGAAGTATACTATGTCATTATTTAGTGGCATTTACCATATCTCACTTGTCTAATTTTGCTTTTCATTTTAGTGAAAGGTGTCCTGTTGTTTGTGCTATGTAACATAGCCCCCTTACTTCGTTACTAATGGCATAACATAACAAAATTTACAGTAGAATATTCAGACAATTATAATTCCTGGTACTTCAGAGGATATATACTGCCCAGAGGTCCTTTTCTGCTATAGTCTTCAATCCAGGCATTCTTAAAGCAGTCCAGAAAAGTAGGACATTTAAAACAGATTGCTAAAAGAGACTACGTGTAAAAATAAATCTATAAATACAGCAGAGCAAAGGGAAAAATTGTTATCTTTTTTAACATTACAGTCAAGTATGGTGGAAGACATTTTAGGGTAAGACACAGTTATTGCTGAGTTAAACATTTTATTCTACTTTTGGCAGCAATGTAAGTTTTGATGTCTGGATATCACACAGCAGATTATTCTGGTGCCTAGTGTCTGCTGGGCTAAGTTAACTGTTCAATAGGGTTAAGTATAAGCTTTGGTACTTTTATATACTTTGTGGCAGTCTGGAGTTGATTTTAAAGCTTTATGTTAATATTTATTTTTATTTAGAGACATAAAAGCAAATAGTAACCAACACTTCTAAGAAATTACAAGTCATTCATTACTACTTACTGGGAAATAATAGTTATTAAACCTGTAATAAATATGGTACAAATTTTCTCTTAAAAGCAACAAACTTCTCGGTTTCATTTACCAGAGTCTTGGCAGGCCTTGGAAAGAATTGGTCTGATAGTTTATCTTGCTCTTTAAAAGGTAGCACAGCCCCCAGATCAAAGCCAGTTAATTGCTCTGGCCATGTTTTTGAATCTTTCACAGAAGTATAATAAGATCAAAGAAACATGGGTTTGCCTGTGATAGACTTTAATATGCATATTATAAGTACAGAGTCAGCAGCAGGCTTATATATGCTTCAGCTTATGATTAGGAAGTATTAAGTTGTCATACTTGATCTTCAGTGGTGGCCTCCATTCTTCTTTGGAGGAAACAATGAATATTCAATGCCCAGAGCTATGACAAAAGCTGCAGCTCCCCACTTGAGTCCCCTGGTAAAGATTTCTATTACGGTGATAGGTCTTGCAAAGCTACCCTGGTACCTCCAGACTTCATTACTAGAAAAGAAAATTAAACCAAAGGAAAAAAGATCAGTGGAAAATTGTGGTACAAATGAATAAGAATATATATATATATATATATATATATATATATATATGTATATATAAAAGAATGATGAAGGTATTTCAATTAGCAAGACATTAAGGTTGTACAGTATGTTCTGTTATTTAAGTATCAGGAATTAAAGTTCATGATAGGAACTCTAACCCTTACCATATAGCATGAGATACAAGTACTGCCAGCAAACAACACAATTATAGGAACAGAAACACCTATCTGAAATCATGTAATTGTACTCTTCTGTGTTCACTCTGTAACAAATCAGAGCCCACTAGCACTTGCATGGATTGGACTAAATACAAAGGTTAGTCACAGTGCTAGACAGTCACATCTTACAATCCAGACACAGATAGCACACCTCAGCACGGAGGCATTTTCTGTTTCACAATACAACACAACTGTATGACAGTCACATGATTTTAAAAAGAAAGACTGAAAAGATGGTGTTTAGCTTGAGTTACAGAGCATGTACAAACTTCACACACTGTTTTGCTTTGCTGTTTTCAATCTCCATTGTTATTGAAACATTAGTCACTACTCTGACTACAAATATTTATTTATTTATTTATAGCACAACCAGTGTAATCTATGGACATGGGTGTAGTTTGCCTCTTGTAAGGACTCAAAAGAAAAGGAAAAATAACTAGCAATAAAATAAAAACTGCAATTTTGAGAGAAAATACAGGGGTTTAAAACAAGAGGGGCAGATATTTATGTTCACAGATAATTCTCTTGTGCAGATGGATTTCGTGACTTGGGATTAAAGCATATTTGCATGGAAGAGTATCTTCTAGGCGCCAGTATAGGGCCTAATTGATACAGACTTAAAGTTTCCAAATATGACATCTGTCACAAAGTTTATTTTGTATTTAATACGTACATGAATGTGCATTTGCCATAAAGGTTGAAAGCAGATTTCTTGTTAAAATGAACTTGGCATACCAAAGGGGAGGGAGCTCTGGAGAGGGTCACTTCCAAGACGTGTGGTGCAAGATGTTAATAATACAATCTTCTGCCAGACTACTGAAGCAAGAAGCATGACACTTTAATTTCTCATTTGCTAAGGAAAATTGGCATGATGCTTGTACTGTCTTATGGAATTGACATACTACTTTACAGAAAATTTTAGAAGCAATCATCTCGTGCTTTGGGTTTGACTTTATTCCATATTTGAATTCTGTTCTGATTGGCTCAATCTCCTTCTTTTACCAGAAGAACAAAAATTTTCTTTTATCTTGGAGGGGCAACAAATACTACAAAGTCCACTGGAAAAGTCCTTTTTCCAGTGTGTTGTTTTGCAGCACTTGCTGGAATTGGAAGTGTAGGCACTAAAGGTCAGCGTAATCTACACTAAACCTAAAATATTAAACTGTATCCTTGTTTTTTTAATGGGAACAAGCCTTTTGCTTCCTGAAAACAATTTTGTCAGAAGCAAAGGGAAAACAAGCTTATGCTGCTTGCACTCCAGAGAAATAGAGGCAAGATAAAAGTGAACAGGCCTGAAAAGTTCTGATATTTCAAATTATTCCTATCATCACTAAAAGTATGTTTTACTTTATACTTACATCTTTAAACTATAGCAAACAAAAGAAAAAAGTGCTGTCAACCTCGAACCTCTCCAAAGGTTATAGCATGAAACAACTATTTAACGGATTACCTGTTTGCTCTTCCATTTTTCTTGTCGTGATTCAAGGTAAAGCCTTTTCTATGAAGACTCCTGAAACCATTTGCTCATACAACTTTTCCCTTGCAGAAGGGCCAGACTACACAGCACAAGACATTTGGTATTTTTATTCCCCAAGGTGAAAGGGTGGCTGAACAAAGTACTGTATCATTTATGATGTAGGATAAATACATTAGGCCCTGTTTTAACAGCTGCCTAAATATCTAAAAAGGAGGAGATACCCATTGTAGAGTGATAGCATAAGAAGTAAAAAGCTGATTCTCCATGATTCTGTCATTCACAGTTGAATGCAATTCCACCCTGTATACATGTACATTTCTTCTTTTCCAATAAAGGCCTCCTGCTGTATGTGAGGAATGCTATGTCTAGTCAGAATGTCGGTGCAAGTTCCATCATCTTCATCAAGACCCTGGCACACAATCTCTTTGCAGAGAAGGACAGGATTATTCACATGGGCAGACCTAATACTACTTAGGTGTTTTGGTAAATGAGGTGTTGGTCATTGTGCCTGATCTATGTCAGCATAAAACATCACAAGTGCAAAGCTGCCTCCCAACATCTGGACACTGGTCAAGGTGATGCAAGGTGTGACCTTCACACAAAAAGTAAATAAAGACTTTACTGAAATTCTGACTAATTTTCACTGCTTTTACTGAAGGGTTATCTGCAATGACAAGGTCTGGTTGATGCCACCAGATGACACATCAAGACGATTTTTGAGGCTTTTACACTTACCGAGCCCACGGATCCCTCAGACCCCGCTTCGCCAGCCTCTTCTGCACCTCCTCCAGGGGAGTTCCCTCCACCTTCCACTGCCTGTAGTCAGGGAGCTCCACTTTGTCATGGCCATGGCCACTTCCGTGCCCCATACCTAGAGGAAAAGGTCAGTTTGTTACTTTGCAGAGAGCATCATCTTATTTTTATACACTTGCAAAGAACAATCCCCTGGACAGGACAAACGGAGGCAACAAGAAACAGAGAACAAAGAGCTTTGTTCTGTAAAACAAAGAGCCAAGGGACTTTGTGCTGTGCTTCAGAGCTTGGTGATTACACACAGTAAAGCAAACTTAAGTCACGACCATCATTACATTCATGGAACACCTATGTCGACAGAGAACAGTGTAAGAAAATCAATGGTTTCCATATCTATAAATGCACTTCAGCAGCACCAGCCCCTTACTACTTCCAGAATAATCAAAAAGAGTTCAGAGTAAAAATGTCTGACTTAGGTGTGGGAGAGCTACGATTGTTTTTCTCAGGTTTTTCTTCAGAGCTTAGCAAAGACTTGGCTCCTCAGTTCCTTTTCAGCTGTCTCCAGTTCAGACATAACTGGAATTCAACAGGGCCAGGAGAGACACATGGACAAGGAGATGCACCTTACTCGTTGCCTGATGAGTCTGAGAAATGTATGTTCTGTTTACAGACACCTTGGAGAACTACTAAAGTATTACGTTTCTCTTTAAAAACAGATGTGAAGTGGAACATTTTCAGCGAGATCATGAAGGCAGGAAGAAAATTATAGCTTTTAAGGTTCCACTTTCACAAAGGACCTGAATCTTCTTTGAGCCAAGGTTTCCCATTTTAAGACATATCAGGCAGCAAAGAACAGATTCACTATCCTTAACTTTTAGAAAATTGACTGGAATACAGGACACAACTTCAAAACCTGTTATTCCTGAAAATGACTCCAGGCCATGAAGGCAAGCAGAGAGATTTCGTTGCCTGAGAAAACTTGGAGAGCAGCATTAACGTCGTCATAAGCCGAAAAGCTCCCCCTGAATGAGACGCCAGGCTCCAACCCTGTGATACAAACGGAAGGCCGCTCTCCTACCCACATTCACCTTCCCAAGAGAGAAGGCCGTGCCCTGTCGCGCAGACGCCGCGGCCAGCGGGCTGTGCTGCAGCACCAGCACAAGCAGTGCCCAGAGGTCGGACGGAGCGGGGCACGGAGAGCACAACCCGCGGTGACAGCCACCCCCACTCCCCCCGCCTGCCCGCACACGGACACCCGGCGGCAGCAGCGCCCGGTGCCCGCGGTACCTGCCCGCGGTACCTGCCCGTCCGCGACCCTGCTCAGGACGCGACCGCACCCGGAACCGGAACCCAGCCCAGCACCAGCCGCTGCAGGAAGCGCGGGCCAGCCACGCGGGTTCCGGGAAGCTTCCGTTCCGGCCCTTCCCGCCGGCCCGGTGTGGACACGGGGACCGTGAGGCGCTGCCCAACCCCGTTCCCGGGCCGCTGCCGCCCGCGGCGCTCCCGTCACGGTTCAGCGGGGCAGACACCGCGCCGGGAGCGGCGCCGCCGGCCCGGGCTGAAGAGCCGGGGGGGAAGGAGAAGCGGAGCGGAAAGCGGCCAATCAGGGCGCGGCTTCTTGCGGGGGCGTGGCCCAATGGGCGGGCGTGTTGCTGAGGTGCGGGGCTGGCGGCGTTGGAGGCGGCGGAGGAGGCGAGCGGGTGAGGGGCGGCGGGGCCGGGAACGGGGCCGGGGCTCTCCCGCCTTCCGCGGGCTGCCCCTCGCCGTCCGGCGCTGCCGGCGCTGCGGGAGGGACGGAAGCCCCGCGGGGTCTGTGCGTGCGGGGGCGCGAACCGTTCCCAGCGCTGGTGCCGGCAGCGCCGATCGCGCTCGCTCGGCTGCCGCGGCCGCTCTGCTCCCTCTCCTCTCCCCCGCGCCCGCACAGCGGTCCCCTCCCCGCGGTTATGTAAGCCCCGGCCCGCCGCCCTGCCCGCGGGGAGCGGCGGCGGGGCCCGGGCAGTGCCCGCTCGCTGCCAGCCCTCGGGGCGCGCTTCGCTGGGGAAGAGGCTGGGGAGAAATCGGAGCTGCCAGCGAGCCCGGCTGGCGCCGGGAGCCGCGTTTCGGTTTTCAGTGGGTGCGTCTTAAAAGAATATTGGTGTTTGTTTCCATAGGAGAAGCGGGGAGGCGTCCCGAAATCCTGGTAGTGCACTGAAAGGTAAGTGAAAGGGAAGAATTCTCTTGACAACTGCCTCCTGAGTGAGGTGGTGACTTGGTTTCACTGAGTGCTTGTGTCAGGAGCTCGGCGTTTTGCATATGTGGCTTTGTGACTGAGAAGTGTCAATTGCCTTAGTATCTGGTTAATTATAATTATTTTTGTGTTCGTCAAACTTGAGCACAGCTTGCTTCATCTGGAAAGAGACTGGTAAAAGTCAACTACACAGTCAGTGAATTATAAAGACTTAAATTACTTCTTAGTTGTATATAATACAATATTGTTTCTTTTTAGCAAAATAGAAACTGTTCTACTCATTTTGATAGTCTTATTAACATGAGAATAAACATAACAGCATGATGTTGGTGGAATTTTGGCATAGACTGTAGTGCCTTTTTCCAATATATTTTGATGGAAGTTTACTTCTGGGTTTCAAGATTTTTTAATAGGGATATTGGAAGCACATGAGAAGATTTCCAGGAGGAATGCCATTATCATGTTATTAACAGTGAAACTGTTCTAAGTAGAGTGCCATCTGTTTAATCCAGACTGCCTCAGTCTGGTTTCAGCATTGTGTGTTTTTCACCGTGAAATAAAGTCTGGAAGATTCAGAGCAGACTTCTCTCAGAGTGAGAGGACACACATTTGTTTTCCTGTAATGTATGAGGAGCTGGAATTGTCGGAGGGCCATTTATTTGTTAGGTGCTCAAATCCCTTAGAGAGAATGCAGTTCTGTCACACACTTGCAAAATATTTCTTGTTTTTTACTGTGGCTGAAAGTTAATGTGTATGTGTTCAAAGTCCAGTGGTGCTGAGGAATATTTTTCTCAGAATTTCTTTTCAGTGACCCATAGACATGTCACATACCAGATACCTTGGTTTTATTCTTTGAGAGAAAGATAAAAAGTCCCAGTTTTATTTGTTTGGTAGGTTTTTATTCCTTATTATTTGCTTGGGGGTTGTTTGTTTATTTTGTTTTGTTTTCTTGGTGCTTGGAAGCCTGATTTGAGTATTATGCAGAAAACTATGCTGGTATTGCTGAGTCTGTTCCCAGGGACATTCAGTGCTGATCACAGAGCATTGGCTTTGTGTGATCTATTGTGCATGAACAGAATTGTGGCAGAGGAGTGCACTTGGCAGGATTTGTCTTCAGGCCCACCATTGCTTTCAAGGTTTAACAAGGTTTTCAGTAGCTGTTTTGCCTTCCCCCTCACCCCGAGGTACATAAAAACTCAAGGTAAGTAAAACTGTGTAGTTAGTTGATCTGCTCTACCGTGTTTTGCTTCCTGTGTTTCCTTTTCTTTCAGTATGATCTATACTCTTTTAAAAATAAGGCTGCAAATATGAGGGATGTGATATTTTGGGAATATAGTAAGCTCTTTGATGCTGTATCCTCAAGTAAGTGAGTCTGCATAATTTCAAGGGGCCTAGAAGTGTTGCTACAGTGTGTTTTGAGAAGGAAGCTTCACCATAATTACAGTGTCAGTCTGGAGAAATCAATAATATGCAGAAGGAAATAACATAGAAGAAATCTTTATATTGTGTGAAAGAGCCCCAGCAGATGACTGAATGTCCTCTAGGAAGGAGAGGTCATTGAAACTCCATGTACAAATAATCAGTACATTTTGTGATTTATGCAGTTGGTGGGATTTTTTAATGGTATTTTTTTAGTATTACTAATTAGTTGTGGTGATAATTACTACAAAGATTTGGTGTTCTAGGATAAAGTTATGTTAGCACATATGCAGGCAGCCATGCTAGTTATGATTTACTGGGATTCCTGCTTGTGTTGTTAAGGTAGAGGAAGGCTGTAGGGTTTCTTGGATAGCTTTCAAATGTCCATGTTTCCAGCAGTTTGTGTTGCTGTGCATTCTGGATTAACAGATTGTGAGATTCATTATAGGAACCAGTCTTCTCTGCCTGTGCATACAATATTCTCTCCAGCACTGGACATGTTAATACTATGCTCTTCATAATTGTTTTCTGGAGTAGAGAGCTGTGTGACTGACAGTGATTTGAAGTATTTTCAGTTTTGAGATGAAATGAAAGGGTTGTGGGGTTGTACTTTTTTTTACCCTTTAGTATCAGAATACATATTTGAACTGGTTAAATATTGCATCCTTTTTCCCCCTGAAATTGCATGTTACTTCCTGTGGTGTTGTATTAGTAGTCAGGTCATTGGAAGCCTCTTATCATTCGAATAAAATGGTTAATGCTGCTTTAATTACAATAAGGATGGAAAAGATCTTTCTTTAGTCCACCTTGCTTTCTTTGAACGCTTTAAAAGAAAAAAACATTCATTGAATGGTGGGGAAAGAAATTATCGTCTCAGGCATCATTAGAGAGCTAAATATTTTATGGACAGTATCACAGTCACTGTTTCACCTCTATTTTAGAGAAGTGATGGGCTGGAGCAGGAGTCTTAGTTGCTTTCTGATCATGGTGTTTGTTTGCTGGTGGGTTGTTTTTTGGTTGGGTTTTTTTTTTTTTTTTTGGGCAACATACAGACCATTCTTCAGAGGAACAGCCATACTAGTCTGAACTGTTGCTCTCTCCTGAAGCCTAAATCTCTGAGACCCTGGAATGTGACAAGATCATTGTTCTGAGTTCTGCTGGTGTGCCACAGCTCAGCAGGTGCTCATTTGACAGCAGGTGCTTATTCTTACACTCCTCTAGAATATAGGCTTACTCCTTAGGTCAGGTCTCCCAGTCTCAGTGGGGATGATGTGTTATATGGATTCTTGTTTCATGGATATACTTAACTTATAAAAGCTATTGAGCCCATGTATGGTTTTTGCAGCTACCGTGTTTTCTGTCGATTAGAGCTGCACTTCATGTGTGGTGTCAATAAGTCATTGTTCTGTTTTGAACCTGTCACCTGAGAATGTCATGTGATACTCCCTGTTTCTGTATGAGGAGAGGCACACCTGTTTGCTCTTTACCAAGCAGTTTAATATGAGTTGAGAATCTTTAAAGATCTGGGTCATGTGTTCACTCAAAGACTTGTCTGGGCTGGAAAAGAATTTTAGATTCCATTATTTTTCTTGATGCTTGTTTCCTTGTATTACGGTATGAATGAGTATCAAGAAATGAAGGTGGAGGCTTCCCCAGCTGAGTCTTCTTGAATATCTGTGCCATAGTAATAATAATTAAAGAAATCCTTTTCAGGCAAAACTGATCTGAGCAGAGACAGTCACAAGCAGTATAGTTTGACTGCTACCTCAGTCAGTTATTTTCATTTCCAAACAGAATAAGTGTGAAAAGTAATTCTTGATTTATTTAATGCTGTTTTCTACAGTTTTTTTTTGAGTAAGAAAGCAGTTTGAGTTTATGCTTGTATAACTCACTGTAGATAAAATGGCAAGCTGATTGAATTTTTCTCTCTGCACCTTTGTTTGGATAATTCCTGCTTCTAATAGCAAGACAAATAATTCAAGTGTCTTTTTTTTTTTATTTAATCATAGGACATATTTATAGAGTGACTCAATGCATCTCCTTTTTTATGTATAGAATTCTGACTAGTTTTTAAACTTCAGATGAAAGCTCAAGAGGTAGAGGGGCACTTCTGATGAAATAAAATATCATTATTTAGGAAAACCCTGCTGTAAAACAAAATTCTGTATTGCCAGCTGTGCTACAAAGAACAGAACATAAAAGCCAAGAACAGGAATTGGGTAAGATAGTATATAGTTTGCAAACTGTTTCAGTCCGTGCTGCAGATTATCCATTATAGTAAAAGCTTTTTATTGTCTGATGAATGGCCACACAGCAATTTTTCTTTCTTCTGTTAATGTTACATTTTTCTATCAAATTTACTTAATTTGGGCACAGGGTTCAACAGATGTTGTATTATTAATCAATTCAGATGATTACTGAAAGACAGAAATACCATTGGCAAGTCGCTTTTTTGGTCTTCCTTGATTGTTTTCTGTTCTGCAGGCGGTCCAGCTTGACTCTGCTGTCCACTGCCTGTGTCAGATCTGCTGCCTTCTCCTCTTGGTGTGATTCTGTAGAGAAATACAGATTTTGTGGTCAATTTTATTAAGTTTACCTGAAAACAGAGAGCCAGTGACATTTGGAGAGAGATCCCACTAGGGGAGAGAAGTGTTTGGTGTACAACTACTGTAAAGTGGTAAACTATTTATTTATCTCTTAGTAGTGATTATCATTACTATCATTTGACATTGAAAAATGCTAAATTCCCTGGCTGTGTAACATTGCACAGGACCTGATGGAGATGATTGGTGCAGTTCAAATCTCTTAAAACGCTCTTCCAGGAGTTCTTCTTTCTGCACATTCTGTGGGGCTTTTTTTTCTACAGGACAAAGTAGTTAATGATTTCTCATTTTATATTGTGTT